TGGTTTGGACAAGAACACATGTGATGGAGTCTGCATGTGCCTGCTCCTCTGGCAAGCAAGTGCAGAATCTCCTGTGAAGTTCGTTGTTCAGTATCAGGTCTTGATATATTATGAGAACCCCAATCTATTTTTCCCTTTAAGTGTGTGAGCACAGGTGGACCATTTTCTCTTTGGGTGTCTCCTTTTCACCTGGAAAATGGCTAGAAGGGTCATGACCCACCTTTGAGGGTAAAATGAACTGCCCAGTTGAGTGGCAGACTCTCCCTTGCAGGAAATACTCCAGACTTGGCTTGGTAGGGCACTGAATAACCTAACTTAAAGCCCTGCCACCAACAAAAGGTTAGTCCAGATGATGCTGAGTCCCTTCCAGCCTGGACTTTTCTATGATTCAGCAGGCAAGTAAGATATCAGAATAACACACATCTCCATAGTCGTGGCACCTCCCTGCAGTTCTGGGCAAGCCTTTTGTCCCAGGGAGCTGATACAGGGTGGGAGAATTATCTGCTGTTTTGAGATACACTGACTTCCAAAAGACTTGGTTGTCTGCTCTGGTTTGAAATGTTTCTAGGAGTGGAAGAGCAGCACCAGGAGGAAGAGAGACACTTGGTGCTCTACGTGCCTGCACAAGTACCAGCACAGCAACTTTCTAGCTCCCATAAGTCTTAGTTCTGTGCCAGTGTCCTTCCTCTTTCCATCCTTCTCCTTCACTCTCTGCCCCTGATTTTGAGCTGGAAAAGATCTATTTTTATGAATAGAATAATAGAGAAAAAGTGAAGTTGCAACAAGCCTGAGAGTCCAAGCCTTAGAAAGAAAATATGTTGTTGCCAGCACTTTTTGTCCCTTGGGCTTCACACCCTGCCCTCAGTGCTGTCTCTCAGCACAGAGCCATCCTAGTGCAGCCTGATGTCACTGATGTTACTGTGACATACCTGCTATGGCATCAGGATTCCTCATTTTTATCCTGCTTGAACAAAAAAAAAAAATCTCCTGTTGCAATTTGGTCATTATTGAAGGATTGGCCACAATAGTTACCTTCCTTGTTTGTTTCTAAGCAAGGACTGTGTGTTCTTCTGCCTTGAGCTGTGAAAACCTCAGGTGGAATATTAACTTGGGCCCACACTGGTCAAGTCCTGCTTTTTTAACCTGCTCCCATTTTGGAGTAGAAGCTGTACTGGTGGTGGCAGAGACAAATTGAGGGGCAGGGGCACTAGATCCAGTGTACCCCTGCCACTGAAGGACAACAGTTTCCTTCAGAATGGTTGCACCTCCAGGCTTTGGACAGTAAATATGTAGTTATCTGGATTTCCTGTTCCTGGGGAGTTGTGTTGAGTGGGACCCATGGAAAGCACTTCTTTTACATGGGGTGGTGTGAGAGAGGGCTGAGGAAATGTTGGTGCTTGGAGGGAGATCACAAGCAGCAACTCTGCCACAAAGCAAGAGTGGCTTTTGTGACTGAGCAGTAGCAAGGTAGAGGGTGGGAGGGCAGAGGAAAGGACAAAAGAAAGGAGCATCTCATCTCCCATATAGTTGCTTGCAAGCTGAAGAATTGAACAACACAGAAATCTTTGCTATTTTCTTGTATATTCTTCCATCCAGCAGGATAAACTGATGTAGCACCTGGGGTTCAAAATGTCAGTGGGATGTGAAAAAGTGGGAGTTCTTCCTCACCCCTCACTGAAAGCTTTTGCTGTTTCTGTTTTAAGCTCCTAATTTTTACCAACCACATGCATATACAGTTGCATGAGGTACAGTTTGATATAATGCTGTGGATTCTTCTGATGTCCAGCAGCTGTATCTTATTCCAGCCTTCAGGATCCAGAGGGTCAAAACAACCATAGAGGAATTGCCTCTACTTTCTGTGTGTGACAGAGCTCAGGTTTCAGCTGAGCTGTGAAGACTGCACTTCAGGAAAGTTCACTTTCTTCAGGAGAAAGTCTTAAGAAAACACTAGGAATAGAAAGTCTAAGAAACTTTGGGAGAAGATGTTAAAATTCCTCCTTCCTTACCACTCCATGGTGCCTGAAAACAGGCCTCAGGTTTGGCAGAGGAGCTTTTGAAGGCAGAACTGAATTTTCCAGGGAGTGGCTTAAAAAATACAGGCAGAGGATGTTTACAGAAGTGCCCTTTTTGGAAGTTCCTTCCAGCCTAAGAAACAAGAAACCATTCCACATGTAAAGGGAGGGGAGGTGCTGGACTCCACCTTCCTTGTATCCCTCCTTCACCTCTAAAGTTCTAGACACTTTTTTTTCTTTTTCATCACTCCCTCTGCTCTTATTTCTGCTGCACTTATCCCTCAAACCAGGACCCAATAGTCAAGGCCAGGAAAAAGGATAAAGTGGGGATATTACCTGGAGAGCTGCCTGTTAGAGGACAGCACAGTCCTGGCTCACCAGAGGAGAAACCCCACCTGCCTCTGCAGATTCAGCTGGACACTCCAGAGGATGAGCTTTTCTCACTGCTACAGGGAGTGGGAGAAAACCTCCTGGTGGCTCAGGATGTAGCTGGGGATACTTGGGGGCAGGGTGAGAGGAACACTGGGGAATTGTGGTGGTGACCACTGATAAATGGAGGCACAACTGGAGTGCCTGCTTCCCTGCCTGCTGCAGTTCTCCTTGCTGGGAAGAAGCAGGCTGCTCACTCAGGGTTAACAGAGGCTTTTTGTGCCTTTGCAGAAAGGGAGAGTGTGTGGGTCTGTCACACCCTCTAATGGGGTGATTTGAAGGCAGGCAGGTTAAGACTTTTATCTACTTCTTTTCATTTTCTAATCCATTTGCAAAGCCCGTGTAAACAGAGCTGTGAAAAATGGAGTGTGGTTTGGTTCTGCTGGGAGCAAATTTCACCTCAGCTGTGTGTCTTGTCTCCTCAATGTTGGCACTGTTTGAAGGAGGGGTGTCCTCAGGAAGAAAACAGGCAGTGCCACTTCCACAAATGATGCTCATCATCCATCCGTCCATCCATCCATCCATCCGTCCATCCATCCATCCATCCATCCATCCATCCATCCATCCATCCATCCATCCATCTCTCCTCCAGTTTTCTCTTGTCACTTTGCTTTCCTGGCATGTTTTACAAACATTTTTAATTTAAATGTAAAACACCACTCTGGTACTTCATCAGGAGTTTTACCTCTAATTAGTAGCTCTGTTCAAAGTCAGCCAGACTTCTTACACATGCTGAAGTGAAGCCCTTGCCAGGCTGCAGCTCCTGGGACCTGAGCCCTGCCTTTGGATCAGGTTGTGCTTTGGGGAATCACCCATTTCCAGCCCCCTTGGTGCTGAGGCTTTAAGGAGAAGCAGAGAGAAGGACATGGATCCATTTGAGCTGCATATGAGCCACTGGCCAGGTTTTACTGGGGGCTACCAGGCCTGTCAGGGTGTCTTCTGCTGACCTTGTTAGGGGCCCATCAGGACACAACTGGAGTGGTTGCCAGGCAGTCACATTAACGAATGGCTAGTGTTAATTTGCCCTTTGAAAATGAAGAAATCAATATGTTGATCCAGTCAGAAATCCCTTTATTCACAAAACAGTCAACCCCAAACCCCTCCACGTAATTAAGGCTAAAGCCAAATTTTGTTTGGGTGAAATGCACAATCTGTCTGCTCCCTAAGCTGTGCTGAATGAAGTTCTCCCCTAATGGCAGAGGGAGCAGCTGTCATGCTGTTGCTCTAATAACCATGAGACAAAATGATTAAATTTCCATCAATCATTTAGCATTATCAGAATGGGTCATTTTAATAAAATGTTATCAGGGGATCAGTGCCTGGCACCTTAGAAAGGAGAGGGGGAGTGGTGGGGTCATCTCGTGACAGCCTTTGGGTGATCCCCCTGGCAGGAGATGCTGGTTTGGGTTAATCCAGCAGTTCCCCTAAATCCACCACTTTTCATGAGGGTGCCTGATACCAGGGTCTTTTGAGAGTAAAGACATTCCTGTAATCAACTCAAATGGCTTTTTGGTTTCAGCAAGTGTCCTCTGGTTCTTCCTCTGTATTAAAAAAAATAAATCACCAACCATTCATCTCAGGCAAAAATCCTCAACTGGTTTTAAGTGGTGTGGAGGATTAAGCCCTGGCTTCAGAAGCCATTTCAGAGCCAGAAGTGACATGCCCATCAACACAGATCTTTCCAAATGGCCTTTCTGAAGATGTGGAGGGATTTCATGGGAATGTTTAGATGTACATACACACTTTCCAAAACCATACTTGTTGCCTGCCTGTATCTCTCAGCCAGTGAGTGCCTTTAAAAACCTGTCTCCTTTGCCCCCTTGGTTGGATTGTTCCTCTGTTTTCAGTGTTTTACCCACTTACCCTGTCTCTGAAGTCCTCTCCATGTTGCATCCAAGGTGTCTTTCCAGTGTCTTTCCCTCTGCAGACAAGTTTCATGGCTACAGAATGAGCTGGACCCTAATGACCCTGTTTTCAAGGCTGGGTGATCCCTGTCTGGGATGGTGTGTCATCATGGTGGTGAAATTCCAGGCTCCTTGCTGCTTCTTCAGCTGTCCTTCAGGGGTGGTGGATGTCAATCACTGACAGAAGATATATCCAGCCTTCTGGTGGTGCTGAGAAAGGGTGACCATGAAAAACAGAGAAAAGCTGGAGGATCCTTCCATGCTCCACCTGGAAATATGTTTAACAAATAACCAGTGCACTGGGTTTCTGCAAACCAGACTTGGCCCTTGTTTTTCTTGGGAGAGAGGGGTGTTTTTTCTTTCCTGCTTGGGAGCAGCTGTGCCAACCAAGCAGCTCACTCCAACCTTGGCAAGTGAGAAGCATTTTCAGGCAGGGTCACGGTGCAACTCATTCCTTCCTAAAAGTTGGAAGCAAACAGATCAAAATTGCTTGTGAGCATGAGCTGTTGTTGGGTTGGGAGGTTTGCACGGTTGCCTTTTGTGTTGTTTTTTTTCCCTACGTGCACCAGTCTCTGGTTGCCTTTTGTGTTGTTGTTTTTTTTCCCTACGTGCACCAGTCTCACTGTCTTTTCTTCTTTTTCTTCTTCCTCTCCAGGCCCTCAAACTGACATGAGATGTAGAGAGAACCCTTTGCCAAATCTGCTGTCAGCAAGTGGACAGTGATACTGTTTACAGCTTACGACCTTTGTGAACCCTGCATTATTTTCCTAACGAAGCAGACTGTTAACAGGCCCCTCCTTGGAGTGAAGACCCTCCTCTTCTTCTGCTTTTCCTCTTTTGTTTGTTGGTTTTTGGGTTTTTTTGGTGGGAATTGAACTCATTCTGAAGTATGCAAAACCTTCCTATGCTGGGATGGCCAAGCACCTGCTGTGGAGACAATGTTCAGCACCATCCTGTTGAGAACACACTGTGTAGCCTTTGCAGTAGTTACTTGTCGATGACTACGTGGCGTTTCGATAGATTTTATGGTTTATGGGATGTTTTAAGTTGGCTTTTCTTTTTGGGAGGTTTTCCCCAATCCGCCTGGCAACCTCCACTTTGATTTCCTGAGATTTTGACCGTGTTTTGCTTTCTCTCCCTGGGGAATCTGAAGTACTGGCATGACCACAACCCAACACTGCTCAGACATCAGGTTATTTTTCGGAACCGACAGCGTTCGTTACACCCGCTGGGTTCCAGAGAGGGGTGATGTGTGCAGCCTGTTTGTTTGGGTTGATGTTTTTTGTTTCTTCCTTATTCTTTTCCTTACACTTAAGGGCACACCCCCTACACCTGTTTTCCAGAAGCGTGCAAATCTCAGCTGCAACACGAGGGGAGCTGGGCAGGTTTCCCTCTTGCCTGGTGGGGACGGACGGACGGCGGGTGCTGCTGCCCGCCCGTGCTCTGACCAGGAGCCCGTTTGCTGCCCCACCAGGGCAAGTTCTCCTCCTGCCTTGGGTTAGCAAGGCTGCTGCATCAAGCTGGTGAGGAGTTCCCAGCTGAGCTGCCAGGGAAGTTGAGCACAGCCACCTCGAAAGGTGTCTTTGACCAAGTGGAAACGCCGAGCTGGGCACTGGCGGGTGACCTGCAGTGGGAGCTGAGGCACAGTTTGTTGCAGGGTGTGTAACTGCATCAGTGATCTCGTTTTGGTTTGGTTTTAGGTTTGGTTTTGGACATATCCTTGGTTATTTTTTTCCTTCTTTGTTACGTATAATCCGTTGTTGGCAGAAGCAGCAGGAGAGGGAATGGCAAGGTGACAGTATCATACAAGTGGCTTTTCCTAGGAGCATAGGTCATGACAGGATAAAATGGCACTGAAAGACAAGGCAGTTTTATATATTTTGCTTCTAAGATTTTCTTTTGTACAACGAATAATAATAATTAATAATGATAATAATAATAATGAATAAAAGGTATGGTGCTGTATAGATCCTCTCTATAATCTGGAAAGTTTGATTACTTTTTATTAGTAGATTGTGGGGGGAGGGACACAAAAAAAAAAAAATGAGGGGTAAACACCAATGGTACCTAGAAACTTGGTGTGGTTCTGAACAGGACAGTGCAAACATCATTCTCCAAGGTGATCTACGAAGTGGTGTTGTTTGTTTCGGAGTTTGTATTTTTCTTTCTTCCTTTGCATAAAAGCATTATGCATATAAATATATAAATATATTTTATTATGTACAGAAACGGATCATTATGCATGGATGTTAGGAAAAAAAAAAAACAACCCAACAAAACTAGCATTTTAACCCAAAGTCTCAGTGCATGAGTCCCCCCCCGGCGACCCGTGTCCCACGCGACGTGGAGTGACTCCTTCTCACACACATACACACACAAGAGCATCCCTTGCTCCTATACTTTCCAGGTCCCTGAGGTGAAATTGGTGAAACAACAGCTCCTAGTGTGATGGAAGTTATGGGGTTTGTATCATAGCCCTCCCTCCCCCATCCCCACGCTGTGAAGATGCCCCTCTTGGTTCCTCCCTGCAGTTCTGACCCTGCAGACTCTGTGCTCGTGCTTCTCGTAGCCCTGTAGCATGTCCACTCTTCCAAGCAGCCAAGGGTTCATCATTTGCCTTGTTAAAGAAGCATCTCATTTTCTTTTTACACCAAAGTGGTCTATTTGTCAGCGTGGGGACGAGTTGATGACATTTATTGGAGTTGGCTGGTGCTCACTGCCCGCCTCTGTCCGCAGCCAGCACGTGTGGCACAGAGGTCACCTGGGCTAGAGGCCACTTTGCTAATCAGAGTCCAGTTGCAGGCACCTTTGGCCAAAAGTGCTGGAGAGCTGCCTCACCAGCCTCCTCGGAGCGTGTTCCATTAGCTCTCAGCTTCTCAGCACACCCCAAAAATGAAGAGTGTGCTGTGCTGAAGGGTTTCCCTCTGGTGCTCCTTTCCTGAGGCTCCTCCGTGGCTTCTGCCCCGTGGCTGGGCTGGTCCCCCTGCCCCACCATTTCAGCAGAGCTCACTCAGTGGCTCCCCATGCTTTTGGGTACAGCTTTTGGCCCATGGCATGGTTGACCCTTCTGGTAAGACCCTGGGTGCCTGCACAAAGACCAGGTCACTGACGGCACCAGAAAGGCCTGACTTGATGGTGTGGCCAAGGTGGCCAAAATCCTTTTTTCTTTTCTTTTTTCTTTTTTTTTTTCTTGGTCCAGATGCAGTCCTTGTCAAAAGGAAGGGAGGGCCCATGAGCTTCAACCAAATGGGGGCAACTTCTGCCCCCAAGGCAGGTCAGTGCAGCCTCTTGGGTTCAACGGAGCTTCTGCTCCCTCTGGTAGGAATGAGAGAGAAAAAGATGGTCCACTCTGTTCAGAAAATGGAGCAAAACCCCCTTGATTTAGAGACAGCCCATTGGTGGCTGGGAGGCTTGGGTTGTATGTTGGTTTTTAAAAGAAAAGTATTAGCTGCAAGGCTTCACCTGCCTCCCAGCAACGTCAAGGGAAGCATTTCCATTGGCATGGCTGGGACCCCTTGGGCCCCTGCTTTGGAGAACATCCCAGCACTCACCAAAAGAGGGCTGGGTTTGGCCAACATCTTCAGTTTGGTTTGGTTTCTGTTGCTTGTTTTTGGGGCCAAAATTTTCAACTGGAAGTGCCTGGTGTCTGGGACTCCAGCGTGGTCACAGAGGGGGGACCTGCCCTGCCCTTGTCCCTTCCCCAAGGAAGGAGAGGTGCCAGGTCCCCCCAGGCCCAGGGGAAGGTCACCATCCTCTACTCCTGCTGAGGTGCCCAGTGAGCACCCTCCTCTCCAGAGGTGCTAAACAAATCTCACTGGATTCAAAGGGCCACTTTACTTAGGTGTCAAAGTACAGACTTGAACGGCTGATTCTGGGAGCCTGACTTTTGAAAATTTGGCCTTTGAGTCTTCAAACATGCCTGGGAGTTTTTCCTTCTGAAACTGTGTGAAACAGAGGTCCAGAAGAACTAGGTAGTCACCACTGAAACACTCGGTCTAAACAAAAAGTGACATTTGTGCAGTTCCTAATCACAGGTTTGGGGCTCGATTTGATGATTTTGTTAAAAAAAAACAACAACCAAACACCTTCTCTTGAGAATGATCAGATAGTTGATCACTGCTTAACTCCAGAAATTTTTCTAGCACCGCTTCAGAAAATTACCTTTTAGGTCATGATTTCTCTAAAATGCTGTCATTGCTTGGCAATCAGTGTCCTGTAGTTGCTTTGAGCACATGGTAACACCTTAGGAGCTGCCAACAGAGGCAAAGGGGGACCAGGCACATTTCACTACTGTGGGTTGAGGAAAAAAAACCAATACATGGATTGTACATTTGGCTTCACATGTTAAACTTTTTTTTAGAGAAAAAAAAGTTGCATGATTGGGAAAAAAAAATATGTATACAGTATCTGTAAAACTGTTTTATCTGTTTTTGTTTCAAGCCATGTAAATTGGAAGAGTATTAAATCCACAGCCTTATTGTGCATGGCCGACTTGACACACCCAAGAGCTGAACAGTTTCTCCTTTTCATTTGGGCTGCCTTGTACTTCTGTTTGGAAGCAGACACTCTGGTGTTGCAGTCTTACTGAGGATTTTCTGTTTAAGAAAACACAAAAGAAAACAAAACACAAAAGGAAAAAAAAACCACAATATGTTGCCCTGGAGGAATATACTCCCTTACTACGCAGAGGTTGGAAGGAAGTTTGTTTTGGAGCAAAACCTGCCCCTTTCCAAAGGCAGTAGAGATGCAGTGCTTACTCCACTTGGTGTTAGTAGATATTGCCTTGTGTATTCCATTTTCAATTGTAATCTAGTTTGTAAAAGAGATGGTGACGCATGTAAATAAAGCCTAATGGATCTCTACGTTGCACCTTGGCCTTTGCTCTCTTGGATTGTCTTGTGGACAGACATCTGAAGGTGGAACCTAGAGAAGGGGTGACATCTGAGCAGCTGGGGAGGGGGTTTGGGGCTGGGGAGGGGTCTGAGCCTGCAGCTGTGACAATCTGTAAACCTGCACTTTCATGGGCCTCTGCTCTTCAACCCTGCAGCCAAGCCAGCAGAGTTTTGGTGGCCAAATAAAGCCCAGGAGGATCACTGATTGCTGCTAAAAATCACGAAGTTAACTTGATTTGGGGGGAGAGGGAGGTTGTCCCTTGGGATGGCAGGTGGGGTTGGGAGAGTTGGGGTGTTCAGCCTGGAGAAGAGGAGGCTCCAGGGAGACCTTAGAGCAGCTTCCAGTGCCTGAAGGGGCTCCAGGAAAGCTGGGGAGGGGCTTGGGACAAGGGCAGGGAGGGAGAGGACAAGGGGGAAGGGATGAAAACTGGAAGAGGGAGATTGAGGTGAGACATGAGGAGGGAATTGTGGAGTGTGAGGGTGGTGAGAGCCTGGCCCAGGTTGCCCAGGGAAGCTGTGGCTGCCCCATCCCTGGCAGTGTTGAAGGGCAGGTTGGATGGGGCTTGGAGCAGCCTAGGCTGGTGGGAGGTGTCCCTGCCCATGCAGGGGGTGGGACTGGATGGTCATGAAGGTCCCTTCCCACCCATTCTGTGATCCTGTGGTGGCTGCACCCTGCAGCTGCAGCCCAGCTCGCCCCTCCTGGCAGACAACCAGCCCAGCTGCAAACCAGTCAGGAGAAGAGCTACACCCCCCGTGGGCTTGGCTGGATTTCAAACTGTCTTTGAAAAACACCTGGAGTGCTTGAAACCACCCTCTGGGGATTTGGGAGAAGAAATCCAGGATCCTGACTCAGCAGCAAGTTATACCGAGGGCTCAGGCCAAGGCCCAGGGGAGCCTGCTGAGAAATGTGAGACATGTCAGCAA